CCAGGGCAATGTATGTGAAATTGTATGGCGGGGCGTGGCAGGTTAGGGTGTAGGCCCAAAATCAGGGTGGGGCGGTAGCACGAATAGCTAGGGTTGGTAGCACGATTAGCACGACCCCATCAGCCACCTGTGGCACACCTCTGCCCTAATTGGTTAGAGCGTTTGTACTGCGCCACAGCGGTGCATCTGCAACCGCCACGCGACATCGACCGAGCCGGAATGAGCACGACTCGAGCATACGACAGTGCTATTGCTCCGCACATTCCGCGTTGCTGCCTAAAAAATGCATTGAGCTGACAGAACCTTAGTGATGACTGATGATAAACTGCGCTTTACGATTCCTTCACGATGGATGATCTCTCGGGCCTTGATTGGTCCAAACCGACGGGCTCCCAACCCAAACAACCCTCCATGTCGATTCCCACGAACTCGTCCTACCCAACATTGCGACCAACTCCCCCCCCGGCTGGATCAGGACGTACCACGCCTTCGTCGGCTTCACAAGCGCCGGGGGCTTCATCGTCATTGTCTAAATCTGCTGCCAAGCCAGCGCAGGACAGCTTCAGCAACCTGATGAATTTTGGCCCCGCGAAGGCGAAACAAAACCTGTCTTTAGCCGAACGACAAGCGCAACTTGAGGCTGAGAAGAAGAGGAAGGAGGAGGAGAGGAAAAAACAGGCGGAAGCGCAATTTGGCAGCGCACAGCAATGGGATGCTTTGGGATCGCGCGCATTTACTCCCAGCCCTAGCATACCCCCTCCCGCCGTGTCAAATGGAGCTACCAACGACGACGACGACTTGTTTGCTGCGTTCAACAAGGATACCAAAGTGGACAACTCAAGCCACTACCCTCCCCCGGCACCACTTCGTTTGACACCCGTCGAGGAGAAGAAGAAGTTGGATTTGAGCAATCCAAGTGCCTGGGGTGCCTCGAGCATTTCTACCGACATCAACAATGACGCAAACGCAGGTGGGTTTGATGATGACGATGACCCGTTTGGGCTCAACGATCTGAAGCCCAGCGGACAATCTGCAGCCCCTGAACAAGCGACTGCTGGGGATGATGATGATTTCCTTGGTGATCTGGGTAAGCCCGTTGAAGAAGTCCGTATGAAACAACAGCAGCGGCAGCAGCAGCCCGAACCTGGTAAACCGATTGAGGATGACGATGCTAGTTCGTCGGAAGATGAATGTTCACGGCCAAGACGGCAACAACAGGAGGCCCGGGGAGACGCTGGTGTAAGCACGGCTTTTGATAGAGCCGTTGCTCAACTTGTGGACTATGGATTCGCCCCCGAGGATGCGCGACGCGGGTTGACTGAGAGCGGTGCGGGGCTTAATGTACAAGCCGCGGCAAATTGGTTATTAGATGATGCCCATAGGAAGGCCAAAGAAAAGTCTCAAGGCCGGAGCTCTTCGACCAGTTCCGGTCGGATTGCCAGCCCACATGAGCGTCAGGCGGGTGGGTTCTCTGGACGGGGTGGCGAGTCTGACTTGACCAAGTCTGCGGCTGCTGTGGGCAGCAGTCTCTTCAAAACTGCAAATTCTTTATGGAAATCTGGGCAGAAGAAGATGCAGCGAGCTGTGGCGGACTTTCAACAAGACGGTGGCGATCCAAGCCAACCAAAGTGGATGCGTGACGCTCAACCTGGGCGAGGGCACGATGCAAGGCATGCCAGCCATGATGCCACCGATGAAGCTATGGCCCTAGAAACTGATGGCCGGACAAGGCCAAGCAGAACGAATAGTCGGCCGGCAGCGGACCGTCGACTAGGCTTGCAGCAGTCGCGAACATCATCGCCGTCCGCAACATCGTCTGGAAACCAGAGTCGAAATAGTCCCGCGCCCCGGTGGCAGCAGACTTCGTCGCCTCCAGTGTCTGACGCTAGATCAAGGCTAAATAGAATAAACACGGACGATGATGACAGCTTCTTTGTCAGCGCAAACAGAAGAAAGAAGCCTACCCCTGCGCCGGCAGGACAACCAAAACAACCAGATGATGAACCAAATTTGCTCTTCAACACCGAGGCGCCAAAGCCGTCGCAGCCGTCCCCCCAACGTCCGGAGCAACGCCAAACCCCGCCATCCATGAAGCAGTCACAGGGAACGCCTCTGGCCTCACATAGGGCCGCCCCAAAGCCTGCTCGACAAGCCCCTCTTATTGGCGCAGCAGCTCTTCAATCGTCCACCAAGCACCGGCTGGAAGGATCTGCCCATTTCAAGCGAGGAGACTATAGCATGGCTCATTCATCATACTCTAATTCCATTTCTGCCATCCCGGATGGGCATCCATTAATGATTATCCTTCTCACGAACCGTGCGCTGACGGCCATCAAGACTGGGGACACGAAACAAGCCGTCAAAGATGCTGATGAGGCGTTGAAACTCATTGGTCCCGAAAATGGCCAAGGTGAAAGCATTGCCGTCCAAGGGGAAGATGGCAAGGAAGAGACTAGAAACATGAAGGATCTGTACGGCAAGGCACTTACACGAAAAGCTGAGGCCTTGGAACAAATGGAGAAATGGGCCGATGCGCTTAATGTGTGGGAGCAATGTGTTGCAACAGGTGTAGGCGGAGTGACAGCCACCAAAGGTCGCCAGCGGTGTAAAGACATTGCCGCGCCGAGGCCCAAAGCACCGCCGCCAAAACCAGCAGCGAAGCCGAGACCCAAACCCTCTGCGACGGCGGCCTTGTCCTCGGGAAACAGTTCCGAGGCAGTTACCAAGCTACGTGAGGCCAATGCAGCAGCGGCTAGGGAGGACGATGAAAAGTTTGCGCTCGCAGATAAAGTTGATGCTAGAGTGGGAGCGTGGAGGGACGGCAAGAGAGACAACTTGCGAGCTCTCATAGCCAGTTTAGACCAGGTGCTCTGGGAGAATAGCGGATGGAAGAAAGTAGGCTTGCACGAGTTGGTCGTGGCCAACAAGGTCAAGATCTCGTACATGAAGGCCATTGCCAAGACTCATCCGGACAAGGTAAACTCTCGGTCCTCTTTTTTTTCTTCTCTTTGGTCGACGGCAGGCCTTAATAGAGAGTTGCTAATGGTGCCATAGCTACCCCAGACCGCGAGCACAGAGGCCCGGCTTATTGCTGCCATGGTATTTGCTACCCTGAACGAAAGCTGGGATAAGTTCAAGGCGGAGAACGGACTTTGAAGTAGAGAAGTTGAAATAGAGCATGATGAGACATATGATAGACTATGAGTAATGTTTTTATTTATTTATTTTTTTTTTATGAAAAAATTACTATTCGTGTCGCTCCTTGCTGGAGCGGCAGCTGAAGAAAGACGTCGTCGCAATTGTCGCTCTAAAGAAGAAGAAGAAGAAAAAAACACAGCGTGGTATGCCACATGTACACATTCCCGCATGATAAGGCATCTTGCCTCCTTGTATGGACGTAGTGTTCTTCTATAAACCCAGCATGCGTCTAACACCATCGCGAACCTTCTTCTCGTAGTCTGCTCGCCGCTCGCGCCACATCTTGGCGGCTTCCACATTGGCAGGACTTTCGTCGTTGGGCTCGGCAAGCATGCTCATGACGGATATGAGGATCTTTTCGACGGACTGGATCGGGGACCAGCGCTCAGAGGCGTGTTCGTAGTGGTTCGGGTCGTCGCCGGGCGGGTGGAGGATGGATATGCAGACCAGGCCGCTCGGGTATACTGCTGCTTGTTAGCAACTCGGTGCCAGCGAGGGCTGGCGGCGTGGGAAGTTCGGGTACCGTTGGGGTGCCACATGTCGGCCAGGAACTTCATGGTGGGCGGCGCAAGCGGGTAGTCCTTGGGGAATTTCAGCTCGGCGGGGAAGACGCCGCCTTCAAAGGGCGTGCCCTCGGGGCCTTGGATGAGGCATTCCCAGTGGAGGAGGTCGTCCTCGGAGACGGGGCCGGCGGTGATGCCTTCGGGCGGGCTGTTTGTGAGGGCGCGGTATTCTTGGAGGAGGCGCCGGTGGGCGGTGGATTGGGCCATGGTGCCGGTGGTGAGAGGGGCGTGGTGGTTGTTGGGTTGCCGAGTCTGCGGGCTGAGCGTGAGGCGAGGTTGAATCGAGTGCGGTTTGGCGGGGCATTCAATGATGGATGCGTGGTGGGATGGAGGCTGACGTAATTTCCGCCCGGCGCCGTTGGTCCAGTCGGCGCCGATGCCGGTTGGCCGCCGAACAACGGCCTGCGACACCACCACCCTAGCGAACGTTGGATGAAGAGTTGCTGGACAGGGCGCGGTCATCGCCCTTTGACTAAACTTGCGGAACGAACAGGAGGTTTAGGCAGCTACGAGCTAGGAGTGCTGACTGCTGGAGAAGGAGCATTGTTGGGCTGAATAAGCTGAAGCTACTGCCTTCAAAGGAGCCGGTGAATTGCATGGGCTTGCAGAAGATTGTCTTTGACTGGGATCCATGTTTGGCGTTTCAGGGGGACAAAAAGTCTGGCTGCTTGCATACTTGGACTCTCACAGCAGGGCCGACATATTCATGAATGTCCAGTGTGGCTTTGATAGTTGGCGGCAACAATGATAGACATCAGGCGATTCAATACTGAACTGAAAACAGCATTAGTCACCCAGATTTTTTAATGAAGCTTGCCACCGATTAAAGGAATCATTTGACTATAGATATGCTGTGACTCAAGCACATGAGCTTTTCTTCTTCATGTTTGTTCGGTGCGCTCTCTGCCGAGTTGGGTGGTGAAGACACAACATTTGCGCAACGGCCTCTGAAAAAGCACCCGACACATACCCAACATCAACACAAGCCTCATCCCACACAAAACACAAAATACACACCTTGAGAACATGTCATCAGTGAAGCATGGCAATGCAAGCAATGATTCTCCCGCCATGGGGAGCCTTTGGCTATAAAATCCCCCTTCGCCGCCGCCATCATCTTACCACGGCTCAGGAATCCATATTCTCACAACATCGCAAAACACACTCAGATCTATTCTTTTGAAAATCTTGACCACTTAATACTATCGGTTGTCAGGCTCCCTTCGCAGCTAGAACGTCATGTCCACAGAGGCTGGTACTGTCTATGTCGGGGCTATTGCTTTGCTGTCGGACAAGGAGAAAGAGAACGACGAGACCGACGAGGCTACATACGACTGGGTTGTTACGATGTACAACGACAAAATGAAACAATGGTGTTATTGGGAAGTATTTGATGATGGCCATGACCTGAAGCACGCCGAGATGTGGCGTGATGAACCGCCGTACATCATAGGACCAGCTGGATCGATTTTGTTTGGAAAGGTCCGCCACGAGAAGGCCAATCACGTCATGAACTATATGAGAACAGCAACACCATGGTATTTCAAGAGTGATTTCCAAGTTATTCAGTATCTGTTTCGTGTCTGGCAGGCGATGAAGTGGGTTTATGAGGGTGTTGAGGATGTCGGGGACTTTGACACCCATGCTCACAAGGCAGAGAAAGAGATACGTGAGGCGATGGATCGAACTAGAGTATATCGAAGGCTCGCTCCTATTCCTCGATGCCGTACATCTTGGAATCGGAAGAAGAGTTTGCTAGATATTGTATATCACAATAAATGAGGATGTGCTCTAGTGTCAAAAAACACGAGCGATGCCAGATTGCTTAGCATTATAGCGCCTTCTTCTTCATTTTGTTGTCATTGAGAGGTTTCATTGTTTAAAACGAAACGCCCTACACACTCCTTTGGAATCTAAATTATATAAAGCAATAAGGGTTATATATACAAAAGAGGTGCCTGTTGTGAACTCTCTTAAACATGCCAAAGTGACTGACTGGCATGAATGATGCGTAAAAGTCCTGGAGTACAGCATTCAATCTGTTGCTACTACAAAGATGTCGTGTCGCGGGATCGGTGTTGTGGTACCAGCTGCCTCTATGTGTTTGGACGAGTATATGGGGTGTTCCAGATGGAAGGGGCAAACCCGAAATGAGGAGAACAAGCCCCATGCGGATAAAATCATTGTAATGAGCCACAAAATTAGCCTAGGAAGTATTCACACGTGTCTGGGTCTCTGATGGCTCAATGGCCACGACGGTTATCGGGTTTGACTGGTGAGTCATGGAGCAAAAAGATCCGCCAATACCGACCCTTGGCTGAACATCTCCGATATCCAGATTATAGGTATGCTTTTGGTCCCGAAACTAAAACCGCCACTATGTCGCACGGGAAAGTGACTCGGCCACTCTGGTCACCTGTTTCAAGACCAGCCATTCACTTGACGACTGAGAGAAGTTGAGGCGTGAGAAAGGTTTATTTCAAAATATACAAACAGCACCTCTTCGGCGGTCCGCCGCGGCCGATAATCTCCCAGCCACATACATGCATGTATAATCTCAGGCACCAAACCATATGCTTCGAATTCCGGTTCGGCACCGGGCCGTCGGTGGAACATTAGAGTTGCGATGCACGGCGCCCACTGTAACCTGCAGGGTCCACAGGTAACGGCGAGCAATACATTGTTGGGCTGCCTCCCCGGGGCTTTAAAAAGCCGAGAATGGTTCAACGCAAGACGCACCATTGCCATGAAACGTGGACTTGCGCGGGGTCTTGATAGAAGCCGAGATGTGGCGTGAAGATTAAAGATGCGGGGTTCCGAAGCGGATGGGCTGGCTCATGGAGTGGCAGGCCGAGGGAGAATGATGAACAAGTCTTTTATAGCCCATGACAGACGGCCGAATTGCAACGATGCGCAAATGACCTAGGCTGCCTGCTTCTGGGTTTCGGTTTGGTCAAACCCGAAGGCCGTGTGTGGTGATTCCTGGTCATGGCGATATCTGAGACACTCCTTGCGACAACACATGTAAATCGGAATCATGAACGCCATGCTTGAATTGCTTCCGTCGAACGACGCTGCCGACTAAGACGTCTCCAACAATGGCTGTGAGAAAGAACACCAAGGGTGATGGCAAGGAGTACCACTACTGGGACTATACTTTCGAATGGACCGACAAACACATGGCCGCAAACGAGCTAAACTCTTGGATTCTGAAGTATGACAGCCTTGCTGACAATTGTAACGAAATCCTCACCAAGTTGATGCATTCCTCTCACTCCGATGCTGGTAATATCTTCAAGAGAGACAGTTATGCCTTGCTACAAGAAAACCACGAGAGTGACACCAAGTTGTCAGAACTCTGGACACAGATCAACACAGTCCCTGACTGGGTGGACTGGGCACAGATCCAGCGTGGCCAAGATATCTACTGGCGATACCTTATACCAATATCCAATGCGGTATGCCGCCTATTGTATTGAGAGCGAGTAAACACCTGCTGACGACCTGTAGCTCACTTATCAAAGCCTGTTAGGGGGTCTGTAAGTACTGCCCAAGGTCTACCCCGAATACACACATGCACGCGCTAACAGCTCTCAGGGGGGCAATCCGTGTCGGTGAAACCATCGCACGAACAGGAGGATTCGGCGCCCAGGTCGTCCGACGCCGCCTGCTAGAGACTTTCCAATATACTCTCCAGGTCAACAGCAATGCGGAGGGGATGAAGCCCGGCGGAAAAGGCCACTTGGCCTGCGTACGAGTCCGACTCCTGCATTCTGCAGTCCGACTCAAGATCATGAGTCTCGCTGCGCAAGACCCGACGTACTATGACATGCACAAGTACGGCCCTCCCATCAACGACCTGGATTCTTTCGGCACCATCCATACATTTAGCAGCGCGGTTATTTGGCAGGGCCTCCCGCGCCAGGGCATCTACCTGAGCAACCAGGACGCCGAGGATTACATCGCGTTATGGCGACTGGTCGCCTATTACATGGGAGTGCCGACGGAGCCTTTCAAGACTGCTGCCGCGGCCAAAGTCGCGCACGAGTGGCTTCTTGTCAACGAGTTTGCCCCGAGCGACACCGGAAGGATGCTGGCCAGAAATATCGTAATCGGCTTGGAGAACACCGGACCAGCCTACGCGTCCAAGGAATACATGGACGCCATGGCGCGGCTGCTCAACGGAGATCGGCTCTCGGATGAGCTGCATATCCCCAGGACGAGCTTGTATTATCGACTCTTGATGTGGGGATATTGTTACTGGGTTCAACTCCAGGCGAGGACGATCCAAAAGATTCCCTTTATCGACCGATTCCTCATTGCGGTGTGTCTCAACGTGTCTCAACCATGCTGTTTATATCTTGAAAACAGTATGCAGCTCATGCTAACTGGACCATAGCGCCGTCGTAAGGTTACGTGGAACTATCTGATGGGTGAGAGTGGCGGCCTTGGGAAGGAGACACTCTTTGACTTCAAGTACATGCCCTCTCTGGGCCGGACGACATGCCCAGGGCAGCGAAAGAGCTACACGTTTAAAAGACCCGGTATTGAATTAATCTCGTACCTGGGTCTCTTGTCTGCTTTCATCACTGTTGCCTGTCTGCTTGGTAGCATTTACCTGCTGATGATGAGATGTTTGTCCCCGCGTTCAGTCTTGATGGAAGCTTGAATCGACCCCAGCTGATATCGTTCTGCCTCTTAAATAACGGCTTTTATGCCTTTATAGTTATAGTTGTTTTCCATAACTCAGATGCTACCTGAATGTTGACAATATTTTTAAGCCACGTGATTGTTCAGCCGGCACATTGGATAGATAGCAAGTTTCGCACTGAAACGGGTTTTCTAGTAATTCCAGCATAAGGAATTGAGAAAACTTGTTAACTAGAAGATTTGAGGGATGTTAATATAACGTAAACACGATTATAGGTCGAAACTCGTGCCATTGGTTGATCACGGGGTCGAGGACTTCTCTGATGTAATGCGGCTTTGCAGTGAAATTGACCAAAGATGGAAGAATCGGCCTCTCAATATTCTCGCCGACACAGACCAAAGCGAGATTTCTTCGTTAGTTCGGACCATGCACGATCTGTGCCAAAAGGTTATGGCAGTGATGACCCGGCCCAATGTGATCCTGAGCAGGCAGTACCAATACCAATGCACGCTTCTATTTGTAGCTGTCAAAGAAGTCGTTGAAATCACGTCAGAACTTGTTTAGTTCAACTTGAAGGTCTTTGGAGAATATCATAACGGATGGCAACATTCGAATCGTTGGTTTGAGACATGGCCAACCGTCGGCGAGCTGATGGCCGGAGGAGCGATCAACCCGACATCCAGTTCGATCGAGAGTATATTGTCCCTCTGTTGAATAGACTGACATCTCTTGAACTTGTTTACTTATTGTCCCATGTGTGAATGATCAGAAAGCACACAGCGACGAATGCGGCCAAGGTGCTCGAGGGTCTGGGGTTGTCGACCTGTGTCAAGGTTGTGCGGTGGCTCGAGTTGAGCATGTGAAAGGCCAGATTTGGACGTTGATGGGAAAATTTCGAAACTTGTAAGTAAAAAGGGCTTTTAACAATTACGGCGTATCAATGTGGCGTGCTACACGGGGAAATAGAGGGTCATCATGCCTGGGCATGTCAGTGGTATAATAGCAATCAGAACAGTTGTCTATTGCCATGGGGATCTTGATTTCTATCAAAAAACGTCATTTCTATGTCTGGATTTGTGGCTCTTCCTCTGCATTACCACTCGAACTCCTGGAGGCAATCGTGTCTCGGCAACCAAAGACTCGGCCGGGATGTGCAACCATGAGCGAAGACACGGCGATGACAATGAGCCTGCAAGCATCAGTACGAGTGTATGCCCGTTAGGCTTCATTTAGAAAATACTACATAACCTCCTCCCAAAACAATAAATAAACCCTCGTCAGTGATCACGGTCGAGTTGCGGTATCCCTGACTCAGCTCATAGCATCTGTAGGCGCAGCGCCCCAGGATACACAAAACGGCTACGGAGAGAAACCCAAAGAGGAGTTTCGTCATGTTTGTCACGGGTCGCTTTGTAGGTTCGTTTCCCCGAAAGTATCGGATCAGATAGTCGGCAAAACATAGGCAAAAAGTTACGAGCACTGCAACCTGTAGCCCTAGTCCTGCCAAGGCAATGTTAACACCCACTTGGCTCACGCCGAGGCTAACAGTGGACAAGGCACCGCCGGAGGCTTGAAGGCTGATACAGACGAGGGCGGCTATTATGAACGTTCAGTAGAAGACGACCGGTTTGATACGAGACAGCTCAGGGGCAAGGTCATCAATGCTATATGCAAATACGTCAGTATACCGAGAGCCCCCAAGGCTTCTCTATATTGGAAGGCTCGCAATCAACGTAGTGTATGACACAACCGTTGATTATGTACTCACGTTACAGATAGTGTAATATAAATGGCGGCAGAATAAAATGCTGGTGCACCAATGATGAGAATAACTTGGATAAGGAAACTAGCATAGGAAAACGGATTCTTGTAAAGCAGGATCCGTCCAACGTATCTGATGATTTCGGTACCTGCATGTGCTGAGTTCGACGGGGCAGAGGGCGAGGGTGCAGTTTGCCTTGGGACCAAAGACGATGACCCCAGTTGGCGCCGCAGTTGACGGCAGCGCAGAATCCATAACGTACTGTTTGAAAGATATGATGTTCGATAGATGATAGTGGCCACGACAAGCTCAGAATCAAGTATGATAAAGGACCACCACCACGAGGTGCAGTGGTGGCGGTGATAACACACAGAGTATTAAGAGACTTGAGAGCTCTCATTCTTGTCAATGGCCTCCATCACAAAACAAGTTTTACAAAAACAAGAAACGATACGCGTGGGCAAGTTTACCTTCATACGCATCTTGGAATGTCGGCGCACTTGGCACCCAGGATGTCCCCAGGGAGCCCCGATTCGATCACTTTTCGATGAAGCACATGGAGCAAGCTTCCCCAAGGTATCTCTGCCACTTGGAATTTTCTCTGACCTCCACAAATTTCCGGCATGCTCCTGATCAGCTTTTCGAGAGCCGACTTTGGACGAGACTCGTAGCAGTTGCTAAAAGTTCATCTCCAGGCGGGGAACATGGACCGAGTTTCGGGCCGCAACGACTAAGAAACTGGCCGAAAAAACTGACCGAGCGAAATGGAGCTCATCTGTTTCTAGGTAACAAGGAATCTTGTTCATCGCAGATTGAGCGGGTTGCATTAGCGACGGTGCCAGGGTTCTGAAGGGGCCTCGAGGTTTCGCGGACGCGGTTGCAGCACCCGGTCGTCATATTTGTGTGCATTAGTGTTGGACATCCAACAACTAGCAAACCCCATTCTGTATCCGGAATTGCGGCCTGATCTGTAGTCGAATAATCGACTGATTCGCATCACCACCCCAACATGGCATCCGTGCCGTGGCATTCACCTGCGCTGTGCCACGGCTCTCTTTTCAGATTCGAGCGTGAAAAGTCCTGACGCGCAATGACCCATACGTGTCTACTTACGTCGTGTCCAAGCTGAACCGTAAGTTGACCTTGTCAGGCAATGTTGCGCAGCAGACCACGCAAACAACGATACGACCAATTCTGACTTACGACCAACCGAGCAACCAGGCAATCAACTTAGGAGCTTACATGGACTAACGCGTGAGGGCGGATTTCAAGTCCACGCTCGGGTTTCCTCTCTGAAACCTTGAACCACAAACCTTGCCCTTGCCTCCATTGTCTCCGAACCGTTGAAGGCCTTACAAGATAGACGCTGTATATACAAATTTGATCCATCGTAGAAGCTGTGCCTCGATTCTACTCCGCAGGGGCTCAATTGGAGAACTGACTTCTGGTAGGCAATACATGCTGAGTCGGGTATGTGTAGGTCCTAATAGATCAAGAGGCTGCTGCTCAATTGTCTCGAGGAATTCAAGGGAGTACACGCTAAGCGTCCATTTATCCGGCAACGCACCGCCAAAAGATATCATAGTGTGGGTTGTATTTATGTTCCCGCAGAAATTGCCTTGGGGTCGTTGTTTTCCGCTCCCCGTGGCTTAAACCGCGTTTGTTAAGATGCAAGCAGTTTAGAGAGGCTCCTTCTTTCCACATCTGCACAAAATAACGGGCAGCGAAATACTCTTGATATGTGTTGTGGAGAAAGTGATAAATCCTGTGGCGATCCTCTGCTGTTTGATCCGATGTTCTCAGGAGCGATAGGCATGGTAGGAGTCTGGAAAGTGACGACATATATCCCGGCAATTTGAAGTGCTCCAAGAATAAGCTCCGATTCTCGTAACCAAAATTCACGAGTGAATTATACAACCCCATGAAAGCAAGACCTTGGAGAGGCGTCAGCTCGTCGGCGGCGTACCTCCTAATCTCCAATTCGGTGTGTTCGACAAGGTTCAATCCGTTCAAGTCTTCTTTTTTGTGTATGAGTTGCTTTATAATCGAGGAGTCCTTTTTCCATAGCCATAATTTAACATCTAAAGTTCGGTTATAGTGTCGGGTGTCCAGTCCGCTCCAGTACTCCTCCATGTTAGGCATGCAGCATCAAGTTGAATAGGTATCTGGATGAGGTTATCCATGTGTTCATGGCGCTCCAAGAATGACTGAAAACTGGAGATAGTCGCTTGGTCATTTTCAAATGCCATCCGAATATACCGACTCACTCGCTCCGGGCAAACCCCCAATGTTTCCAACGCTAGATCCACAGCACGAAGACCAGGTAAAGACTTGCCATGAGGCCGGGTCGTAATGAAAACTCGTGATTGATTCAGAAGCTCGTGAAGAAAACTTGGGGTTGTCCGTAAAAAAATCACGAGGCGCCTCGTCTAGTCCATCGAGAAGGAATAGAGTGAGGTCAGTGTTGCTCATCACTGCTCGCCACAGGACCTCTGCAAGCGCCTCCCCGTGGGGATGATGGACGAAGAATCCGCTATAAAAGAGGGATTTGAGATTGGTCTTGCCACTTATTCGAATCAGGTTTCGAAATGGTATCCGTAGGAGACGATCAAATTTATTCTTCCACAAGCGGCCGGCTCTGAAATCAGTCACAATTTTTTTTGGATAAATCTTCCCCACGCCCGCGCGACCGTGAATCATAATTCGCTTCTGTTGAATAGCCCTTTCATCTTCAAATCTGCGCTCATCAAAAAGCGCGGGGAGTGTGACTGGTCTGTTCGTCTCCCCTGTCGAGCTACCAGTATTCGATCGGGTGTTTAGGGAAGCTTGTGCATTGTTCAAGTCGATAGCTCGGTGTACTATTTCAAGGTTGATATAACACTCGTTCATGGGAAGCGGATAACCAGACAGCTGCCTAATTTGAAGCTTCTCATCACTGTAACATTTATGCAGGATGTATTTATCCGCGGTTGACGCTTCTATGGAT